ATCCTGAGTACAGTTTAGGTTTCGTCTTGTGCGCGATCACCAACTCACTCTCTCAAGGAACTTTCACTCCTGAAGCGACGGCATTGAGCCTCTACTGTTTTGTTGTACATCATGATCTGATGTTCCTGTTAAGATCTTACCGTTATGCCGATTCCCATATTTCATCATCCCCACTTGCGCTGTTTCTGAGGCTGCCTAAAAAGCGAATCTGGTTTGGTTTGTCCGCTCAATTTTGTGAAAGAAATCTTTCGCCGTCTAATCCATTTGGGGAGTAAATCCTGTGCATTTAAACCTCTGACAAATTGCACCTCATTTCTGCGGTGAGACTACTCTCAATCATGAGCCAGGTCATTGAAAATATCCTCTTCTACAGCTACAGTTTTCTGTGGACCACAACAGATTTTGGACGAAAAGAATGTCCAGGAAATGTTGGATGTGGAATGCAGTACGAGCGTTCATCACAACCAACCTTTTCAAAGCGTAACCTCGAAAGGTCCGCTGCACAAGCGGAGTGAAATGCAGGGTACAGAACGACTTTTCTTTCAGCCGTTGAAGTTTGGCATCTGCCAGTGGAAGAAAAGCGTACAGAACTGGTCCCTTCGGTCATAAGACTGGTTCAGCACCTGGAAGGAGGTAGAGGACTGCTTGCATCGCAGTGCACTGACCAAGATCGGTTTGGCAAATAAAATTAAAACGTTTTGAAAAGTCGGATACATGATCCGGATGTGCTATGTGGGGTTGAAATGCATTGCAAATGACACTAATTGGAATGTCGGTTAAACCCAAGCGATCGAATCAATCAAGAACCGATTAGCACAGATCAGCCACTGTTACGTAACGCAAGCCTACGAATGTAGTTCTCCAAAAGGTTACACAGGAGAGGAGCTAACCGGAAGGTTTTGACTTTTCGCCAAAGGCACTGGTAGCATTTTGGGTGGCCTGTCTGATCGGAGTTTGCCCGTGCGTGCGTAAAAGCTTCTCTGAAAGGATGGTGATATCCAACTGCAGGCGGACTGGATGACCGCTGACGGTGATTGTGAGATGCTTTCGGTGACCTAAGGTGCTGCTCTGGAAAGTAGCCAGCCAACAGGGTTCGATTTCGGTTACGGATGGGCGCCTGATGACAGCTTTGAAGCACCAGGGGCCATATGCGTCCGTGATTAACAATATCCATCTCTGTGTCTCACGGAATTACATTAGCGGCACCGATGCTGCTTGTGGGGACGGAATCTGATGGACGGCCAGGCTCCATAGTGTCAACATTGTGAAGGTGGTGCCATCTTAGGTTTGGGGCTTTGCTTCGGACCAGAATAAGGCGAGGTCGATTTTATCGAGTTAGAATTGACAGGGTCAGGTTGTTGCGTAGCCTGATGGATTGCATTGCCTTCGGAACCGCCACGATCCGCAGGTTCGACCATCGCGGTAAGATGGTTCAGGTTAAGCAACCGTTGAAATTTCGAGGTGATGGCCTGCAGCATCATCATGTCCGTGTTCAGATTTCCGTATCCTTCGGGGATTGAAGACAACGTATGGAAACCGACAACTTGAACTGACCTTCCGGTAACGATCCGCAATTGAATCGTTAGCATTCCTGGTTCACGATACTGGAGTCAGTGAAAAAGTCGTCTGCGCCACTTTTCACCAGCTTTAGGCATCGATAACGGATTTTGAAAATTGACGTTTGCTTATCAAATATTTGCGGAATCGTGTGAACTGTTTCATCAAAGGTGAATCCATGTAGGTTCTTGGGATGAATATAGTCAGCGTACTTATCATGCTCCGTGGGTTCAATTTTGTTGAGCATGGGGTGAACCTTCCCACTATTATGCTGAGTTGAAAAATCAACCATAAACAGGTCTTCATAGCGACAAAACCAAGCACCAAACTTTGGACTAACCGAGAGTTCATAGCAAAGCTCGTTGATACTGCAAGTGATTCCGCCACCGGCTGTAGAACTTTTGACTTAGCCGGTGAAGCCAAAGATGTAGTTGATAGTCGCTCCGCGGGCACTTTTGTGAGTTGAACGTGCTGCTCAAACATTACTTTGAGTTGATCTGCTCCCGTCTTGCGTCGCCAGATATGTTACGGGTTCGATGACGCAGCGAGTAGCGATAAGCTGCGAGGACTGTACCGCTGCGCTATCCCCAGTTAGTTGTTTGATCATTACTCCTAGTACAGCGTGATACTGAGAAAACGAAGCCTTGAAAATAAGTGTAATCCTTCGAACAACAAGCGACTAACAGGCAATGGCAGAAAAATGACAAAGCAATATTGATATACATCCACCGTTTAACCTCGAAAATGCCGGAATACCGTTAGCACATGCAAAGATACAGAGTTTATAGGGAGATTGATATCCCCAACAGTCTCACTGTCGTAGGGTGCGAGGTGATGGAACGCGTTCTGAAGCACGCCATGCTAGATCACCTTACTACTAACAACTTGAAATTTCCAATCCAACACGGTCCAGTCTAAAGCGTTCTTGCGTGACGAACATGCCCGTCTTTATGAAGAGGTTACCCAATCCAGTGACAAGAGTCTCGTATCTGATGCTATATTTTTCGACTCCTCAAAAGCTCCAAATCGAGTGACATGTGCTGTTCCATAAACTCGAGTCCCAGGCAATTCAAGGAAAATTACTGCGCTGGATCAAGGCGTTCCTATCAGAGAGAACATTCCGAGTGAAAGTGAACGCAACCTACTCTTCTTCAGTGCCGGTCTTCAGTGGAGTTCCCCGAGGTTCCATTTTTCGGCCACCGCCTGATCTACATCAACGACCATCCAGAATTTCTACCAAGTCCATGTATACCTTCTCGCACAAATTGAAATCCTGGAGTTCAATAGCCAGTGCCCTACAACTGGATGTAGGCGCTGCAAAACCGTAGTCCTTGGCTGATCCCTTCCTCTGAATGACGAAAAGTGCGTCCATTTGTAATTCAGATTAGTCTCATTAAACATCTTTTTTGAGCGTGGTGAAAATGGACCAGAACCTATCACGAAAATAGATACCAAGAATGGTACCGGTATCCGGCTCTCCTGAAACAGTTCTTCCTTCCGGCACCATGGTGAATTGGCTCGAAGGCACTGACCATTCTGCGGATGGCTCAGCGCACTTCCTCACGTGTCACTTGCACAGGCTTCCAAATACCCAAAGCGGCATACGTCAGATCGCTCATTGAATATGTCAAAAACGTTGTCCACCCAGGACGTACGAAGGACGTGGCCATCACTGGGCGTGTCTAGCAGGCTGCTACGAAAATTGTTGATGACTGTTCAAACTAAAGTGACTCACGACAATTCTCCCGTTCTTTACTTACTCCGCCTATCTACTTTAAATTCCTCACTTGTTTTGCTTATGTTTACCCGCCACTCACTTTGCCGCAAAAACCTCCCCGCCTGATATTTCTGCGTCAGCCTGTGTCCATGTGTGAATGTGCCCAGCTGACCTACTTACACATGCACCTAAGTGTCCTCCTTGCTGAGTCTGCCTTGACTTGAAATCTCATGAGTTCCGTCTGATCACACCACCAAAAGGAATCACCAGACTGTCGTCGAAAAGGACGACCGTAACCCACACCATTCCGCCTACATTCCGCTTGCCGTTTCTTGAGGTGTTTATGCTGACACTGGACTGTCGTTCAGTGACAGACCTGTGCAACGTTTGACGCTCCCAGTGTTAACGATTAAGGTTTCCTGTATACATCTGCTTACACTTGCGTAAATAGTACCGTGGAATTACGAACCCAGTTATTGATTTCGACATTCACGGGTTCAAGGTCTCACGGACTGATACACGGAATCAAGTCATTCGCTCATGTTTCCCTGGATTTGTTCTTGTTGTTCAGTGGCTGTCGTTCGCCTGAAAGGCGCAAGTAGAGAAAGGATGTAGGACTGCTCTTCAAGTTCTCAGCGTGAGGCTTGCCAGCACGAGATTGCTGAAACTATGTGTCACTCTAAGTACCGTATCGGATACCTCAACAACGGCCTTAAATCTGTGGACCATGGAACGCTTCTTGCGGTGCTTGACCTGTTTCCCTGATTTTTCGTCGTTTCTGAGTTGGCCTAATACATATGCCTTGTATAAACAGAGTTTGTCCGACAGCTTTTTCACCGCTGATCCAGAAAACACAGAGCGGGGGCATGATGGAAACATTTTCAAGCTCAGAGCGCAACTTTCATTATGCAAAGTTCTCATTTCGGGTACGTGGAATAACCTTCCGCCGGCGTTTGTTCACACTCCATTCAGAACCCAGTTTAAAGCATTATTAGACATTTTTACGCAAAGCCTATGGCAGTCAAGCTTGCTGCCCCACACTGAGAACTTGCGAGCAGTCCTACACCCCCTTTTCGCTTGTGTCTTACAGGTGAACGGTAGCCGCGGAATGCCGGAGACTTGGACGAAAGCCTCAATCCTGCATATCACTCCGCGAATCCGTGACATTCAAGCCAAATGCCGTGTAGCAGAATGTTTGTGCTGTTTTGGGAGACAAATGTTCAAGTATATATTCCATCAATGGCTTTGGAAGGGATATCTTACTTTGACCTGAAGCAACTTGCATGTACCATCGATTCTTGAAACTATTTGACGTTTTTCGTTTGTGTTGCGCATTGTGGAGTGGCATGCTGGAAGCAGTAGTATGCACTGGTAGTGTTACGTAGTTGTGAAAATGACGTCTTTCCCGATGTAGACCAGTGCCCCTGATGATGGCAACCCTTGACAGATCTACACAGGCCTATATTAAACGCAAAGCTCGAATATCTTGACATGACGATGCTGCTACCCGTAATCCATTAGAAGGCGTAGATTTGGTTATTAACACTTGCAACACAAACACAGAAGCTTCAACAAACGTACTTAAGGGTGTGAAAGTACCCAAAAGTGTCAGTAATGGGTAGCGGTGTTTTAATTCTTCAAAATACTAACACTCGCACTTGCAACACAAACACAGAAGCTTCAGCAAATGTACTTAAGGGTGTGAAAGCACCCAAAAGTGTCAGTAATGGGTAGCAGTGTTTTAATTCTTCAAAATACTAACACTCCAAGGGTTAGTGGTTTGAACCTGTATTTTATTTTCGTGGGCATGTGCAGTAAACACTGCTATCGCAGAAAACCACAGTCCGACAAAGAAGTCTTCGGAAGCCCTCCAGAAGTTATTAATGTACTGAAATTTTCGGGCGCCACCAATACTGACAGCCTTCCTTCTAATAGTGCAAACGTGAGTTACTGTTTGACGACTGATGAACATAAAACAGATGGGTGACCAAAATGTACCAAGATTCGTCATTTTTGGGAAACCTTCAACCGGTAAATCTAGGCTGGCTCAGCGTCTGTGTCAAATTTGGAACTGCGAACACGTGAACGGTAATACTATTTATTAATTCCTGCTCAAGGCTTCAGCTTCTGAACTGATATGTCGGAACATAAGAGAGCAAACACCGATTGGAAATAAACTAGTGGATATAATGATTGACGGAAAAGATTTGGAAGATAAAATTGTTATCAAACTTATATCTGAAAAACTTCAATCTCCTGAATGTCACCTCAAGGGTTATATTCTGGATGACTTTCCGACCAACAGCGAACAAGCCTTATCAATAACCGAGCAACTAGATATGTTGTCGGAACTCCGTCCAGAGATCAACTGTTATGTTTACATCCATGTAAGCTCTGTAAATTCCATTTCGTTGCACTATTATTTCGTTGCTAATATTATTTTGCCTATTAGTGAAGTTAAGTCTGACATTGTGTTATTAGATTGCTAACCTGTATTTGGAATACAGTAGAATTGAGAGTATCTACTCCAATTTGTTACTTAAGCCACTTCGTCTCATGATGCAGCTGGGTGGGAGTTTTGGGGGAGCGTTTCACCAGGTGTTGATTGTTACACCCATTAATATGTACACTTATTATGAACTGCTACTTAGAATGAAGTGACCACAATTCTGTTAATCTGTCCTAATTTCAATGGCCACATTAGGGCTAAGTACCAAATTGCAGCCACAACTTCTGACATTGGAACAGTAACCTCCACTCTGAGTAATTCCGCGTTGATGGCCTCTGATACTAACAAAGTATAACTCATAAATTTGTGCTTAAAAACGGTATGCTAGAAACGTGTGCATTCGAAAGCGCTTACCTCCGTTACCAACCTAACTAACCCGAAATTGCACAGTTCCTGCGTGAATAAAGTAGGCAGACAGTCTACGTACTCAGTGAGAAATTTTCATTTCTAAACGTTGGAAGCCACGCGAATGGTATAATTTTCAGAATCGGTCGCGAGGTATTGGCCAGTCTGTTAGTCGGTAATAGATTGCCGACTGTGCTTCTGTGTTGGTTCCAATTCCCGGTCCTGTAACATGCTGTTTCTTCGTACAGTGAACTGACGCTCTACAAATAATCAGCAAAGTGCACAGTAGACAGTACTTTTGCTTGTAGCATGAGGACGGCAAACAAACGTCCCCAGCACAAAAAATCTATTCACGGTAGGCTCTTGCACGGAATGATGACTCTTGTCCGAAAGGTACCCAAAGGATACGGATTTTGCCACGTGTAGTTAAACATTTAAAACCGAAATCCCTTTTTTGTTATCTCTGGAGCTAAGGTGAAACAGCTTAGCTGTAGCACTATGTGCCGCCGGAATGCTTTCCAGGCAAGCCTTAGGTCCTTTATCCTCTTTGAACTAATGGCTACGTTATCCTACAACGGATAAAAAGCGCACCGAGTTCCTAATTCTTCTGGGGTGCTTCAAACTGCCCGATTAAACTACTTCTTCGATGATTCTGATATGAATTTTTTTATTTTTTCTACTGACTTAGCAGCAATTAGTCTCTCATCTTCCGCATTGCTGGCGAAAATACGTAGGCAGCAAATTCTCGTGATCAACTGTTATACAACCAAGAGAGGAAAAACTTAGTAAATAGTGTAAATAAAATGAAAGAAAAAACGCGATCTATAAGGAAACGATCAAATGTAAGGTAACAATACCATTTGAAAGTATCGCAGTAAACACATCTGCCATCATGTTGAAGTAAGACTTTGCTTCCTTTGCGCGGATCACCAGACATGACCCCAGGACACCATCACGGGCAACTTTTAGCTGTATGGTGCGGCATACAACATGCCGACTAATATGGTTGGTTGCATACAGTATCTTTCTGGGTTTTCATCTAACTCCAAAGAAAATTATATGAGCTACGGCCACAAAATCCCAAAGACTCAAAAGCATGCGGTTTAACTTTACTCCTTATTTTACCATGTCATCTTACGACAACCACAAATTCTGAGCAAACGTTTGCTTGCAGCCAACGCTTTTTCCTAAAAGCTGGGGGTTAGGTGTGATTAGCGTATGCTCCAACCACATCAACCTAGAAAGTTTATTTTATCTTCTCAGTGATTCGGTTTGAAAACACAAGAGTCAGGCTCAGCTGCACTAAGCGGTAAGAATACTATGCTTTTGCTATTGAAGAGTTTCAAATAACTGATATCATATCTATCGATTGAGGTGAATCAAGCTCTGATAGTAGGTTTTCTTCTTCTGAAAGCCAATTAAGCGCCATCGTAGACAATAATCGGCGCCACGTGATAATTGTTGCACATTTTTCTTGCGTAGTGTAAGTCTACAAGGGCCATACGATCATTCCATTCCTGTCTGGAATTGTTAGCGGTGTGAATCTTACAAACTTTAATGCGTATACAAACGCAAGGCTTTCGGGCTTATGCTCCAGATCAGTTGCTTAAGAGTGACTTGTTAGCAGTGTTATTATTTTCCACCTACGTATCACATAAAACAAAAGTGAAAATGGATCACCTTCCATTTGTGACAATATTCCGGTGTATAGCTACCATGTCGCACGAAAGATACAACAAACTATTCTAATTTCAAGTTGTTTGGGTCTAGATGAGAACTGTTGGGATAACAAATTTGCGTTTAGGGCAAAAAGCTTCCAGCAGATCTGTTTACGTGGGTTTGCCACCTTGTACCACCCAAACTGCCACTCAGGCCATCCAAGTTATGTGGTGACTGTACCGTACTTCTCATATTTTAACGTGGCTTAGATTCACTTGCAGGATAAAATTTGACTAGAAATTTAAAATCTTAAGTAGAATGGCTACCTAGAAAGAAAACCTTAAATTAGAACGGCTAAACAGCAAAAGGAAAAGGGGTCATTGCCTAAGTGGTCAATTTGTGACTGATCCACCGCAGTGTTAATCTGAGGATACTTGTCATTGAAACACTTGTCAGGTGGGCTGTATTTGTGAGTCTACTGCAAACGGCTAAACAGCGACAGGAAACGGGGTCATTGCCTAAGTGGTAAATTTGTGATTAATCCACCGCAGTGTTAATCTGGGGATACTTGTCATTGGAACACTTGTCAGGTGGGCTGTATTTGTGAGATACTTGACATCAGACACTAGCAAATAATGATGCATAGTTTGTCAACAACGTTAGTTCCTTATTTCTTTTTTGCAAACTATTTTCCTATAAAATATTAAGAACCACGCCACCCTTAAAATTGTCTTCCTCTGTAATAAAGTTATGTTTATTAAATGGACTATTTGTTTGAGCCACAAATAAATGGGTCTAATTTGGTCTAATTTGGTTGTTTTTTGGCTTTGGCAAATGCTATCCAAAAGGCTATGTGCCCTTCCTTGTTCAAGTAAACAGGCACCAGTTTATGGAATCAGTAGATCAGTATAAGATGTGGCGTTGATACAGACTACCAGTGAACTTTTTATTCTCTACTTTATTTTTACTATTCTTTAGAGAAGCACTGGCAGAATTTATGACTTATAAACTTTCCGTTTCCCATCAAAAGCCGCACAGCTTGCACGATTTTCTGTGAGGCATCCATAAGCCGGAAGCCACAACTGAATTAGTAAAATTAGAAAAATCGTTGTTTATTATATGTGTGTGTATTTCAACCCTAATAAAATTTGGTTGTTCTGTCAACTTATTTCACTTTCCTATTTTTTAATTTCGGAACACACACCTACATCACAGAAGCGTATTAATTTATTTGATGCCTCTTGAATACATTGCGCAGATTTAAAAAGTTGACTGATTGTGGTCCATACTTTGTTAACAATGTCCTTCTACGTCATTTTGACTTCTGTTACGCATACGCGTAAAATGTTCTGAAAAATCAGCTCCATAACCAGTGCCTAACATGGTGATCTAGATTTTGAGTGCTTAGGCTATGTGGATATGGCCCTCTGGAAATAAACGTGAACATATCTGACAAATTCGCCTTGCATTTTTTCCAGTGGTTTGCATTGTGCCAGTGACTTACCATCGTAAACGAAAAACGACAGTGCGAAACGTCTTCCATCGCGTAGAATACTTTTACTTTAATTAACTTCACTTTTATTGAGTTGAATAACTTTAATTTCACTGATCATTACTAAGTGCAGCGGCTGACTTTGAATGTTTAAGGTCTAAATTCCTGGCGCTAAAATATGCTACCAACGGGCTTCTATATTCTTTATGGCTTTTACCTTGAATTTTTGTCTTAGTACGTGGCTAAAATTTGCATCCTTTGTAATTTTCACTTTGTTTTGATCCAAAATTATCCGAGATAAGCATTGGCTAATCTTGGATTTGAAATGTATTGCGAATTCGACCTATTGTTCCATCGGATAAATCTTTGGTTTCTGTTGTTTTTTCCTAAATATGTCAGCAAACAGCAGTTTAGGACTTCATCTCACTTTGTTTGTCACCATGGCAAGTGACTAAGTGCATTAATCACTAAGAAGCTTCCTACGAAGAGACATATCATGTGAGACCGCAGGTTAGCGTTCCATACCATTGCAGCTTTTTGTGAACCCCTGTTAAACTGATGGCTCCAAAAGTGATCAAACAAAGACTCTACCTCTAGTACTCTTTAAAGATCTAGAGTAACTGGGGTTTACAGTAGAAGAGACAGCCTGTCAAAGGGGGACGGCGAAAAACCATCGTGTAAAACCACAATAATAAAACTGGTGACAAACGAGAGGCAGTATATCTTCTTGTTGGTATAGAAATCTACAAACTAAAAGTTATATCCACAAGACTTATGCAGTATATTCTCATAATTAAATAATTCTCAAAACTTAGGTCCCTATTGCGATATTTTGCAACGACACTCTTCAGCAATTAAGATGGTACGCAAAATTCTCATCGAGGGAATACCACTTTGAGTGTACGACCCAAATTCTTGATATTTTTTTGGAAACGCTGTTGAGCTACCACAGATGAACGTCACTTCAATACCAAGGTGCCATTGTTGGTGAAACTTTAATAAAATCTAACACCTGCGAGATCTCAATCTGTCGTGTTTGTATCCATTCTATTGTACATTTAAATCAACAGAACTGTAAACAAATGCAAAAATGGGAAGCAAACAGCATTTTTCTCTGATTCGGTATTATGATTGATTGCCTAGGTCTTGAAAATTGGTTGATACGCTTCTTCTGTGCTTTCTAATCCAATAAAGTGGAGTTGATTGATTTTTATAGGTACCTGACGAAGAGCATCGTTCTTGTTGGTCACAGAAGCGCATTGATCCCGAGACAGGACTCCTTTACACTCCAGTCCCTTGTGACGGCGATGATGAATGTTTATCACCACCATACGGTCCACAATTTCAATTGAATTTTCAACCGTCTTCTAACCAGTCGTTTCAAGAGAGACTCATAACACGGCACGAGGAGCTGCCTGAATGTCTTGATCAACATTTTGAATTCAACAGTCAAGTAATGCGGCCTATACTGGATCGGTTCCTATCCACTCAATCCAACGTACCTTGTCTTCGAATTCTCACTCAGTCTGATGGTTCCGATTCATTTGTGGTGAGTTTCTCTAAATCATACATTTTTGATACACGGTTTTTCAGAAATGAGTACCCAATCATCGGGTGTCATTGAGTTTCTGTCGCACTGATATCTGGGGATTTATGAAATGAATTGCAATACCGTCATTCATAAGATTGGTTACTGTAAGCACAAAATTAGCGTATAAAACAGGTAGAACCATCCTGTCACACGTTTTAAACACATTGTAAATGAGTGCATTAGTGAGTATATGCGAATGTCTGAGTGTAGCTTGATGTAAGAGTTTCATATAACTCTTGTGATTTCCGAACAAACAGCACACCAGTCAATGTTCGCTTTTGAGGATCACTTTAAATCATTGCATTGGCTACCGATTATTGATTATTGCATTAAGCGGTAAACTGTCGAGGTTTACCACATTTCGTCTGATTGGTCAGCGGGCTATTGCTTTTTTCACAGCCTCGCAGACTCGGAACTTGTTAATCTCTTGTATGTGAGATACATGGACGCTTGCGGCAACATCCAGCCGATTTTTTTAAAAAATTGAACACAGAAAATATTTTCAAGTCGCTAACCCCTCGTTGAATTAAGGCCCACTGCACTTCTCTGGTGGGTTTCTCTCTCATTAAACTCTGTTAGAGGAATAATGTTTGAGGTAATTGTTGAATTTATCATCAATAGTAATAAAGTACTCATAAAACACCAGTTTTGTCCAGGTCTTGAATGTTTCTTATAATAAACGAAAAACAAAATGCACTTGGTTTAGAACAAACAATACTCTGGTTCCCTTGATTACAAAACTAATATCAGATAACTGAACTACAATTATTAAGAGTTCCATTCTGAAACCCTAGGCCTAAAAATTCATAATAATGACGTCTAGAGGTCACCCAAAACCGTCTGCTTTTCCATCGCAACGTTTTGCCTAGAGTACTGTCAGGTGGAACGGATAATGCGAAAAGCTTGTGCTGAGCTCCGGTGTCTAAAAAGCCATGGCCGAAAAAACTGAAAAGTTCTGAAGGTGTTGTATGTTTATTTAAATAATGCACCGAATTCAGACGGGTGAGACAGAAAAACCTATCCAACAGACACTGGCGTATACAACAGCTTCAATTGGCAAAGTTTACCAAACCCATATATCGTGGTTCATACTCAAGACGGTTGAAGCAATTCACGTTAGCAGACGCTGCAGAATATGGGTAACACCGGACAATCAACAGTAATCATTTTCAGGGTGACCAGTTACACTGAACAAAGCCGGAGCACACTTGTTCACAACGATAAGTTCTAAAGGTGGTTTACACTGAGTCACATATGCACCATCTGAACTCAGTGTACGCGGTACAAATGCGGGAGAATATGATTGTGGGTGGGCAGGGAACCAGCAAATTGATCAAACTGGTGATTCATTGCTTGCAAACTTTGTACCAACAACAGACTAGAGATAGGTGGTTTCTGCCATCACATTGGCTATTCACTGTCCCGAAACGAGCCTTTAGTCTAGTGGAAACTTGTATTCAAAAGCCCACTGCAAAAGATGGCAAGAAAGATTAAAGAAGACAAATGAAAAACACTCAACTGTAACAGTATGTAGCCACATGTCAGTAGGCAACAACGATAGAATTAAAATGTTGAAAGTATGCGGGTGAGAATGTTCGAAGATGTTAAACCAAACCTTAAGGTGTACTATAACTCCGTGCAGTTTAAAGCGGTATCAAGGACGGCACTAATCAGGGATAGTGACGGTAATTAATCGGACGACTGGAAACCTGCTTCAACGTTTTTAAACAACGTGTAAATCAGGTCAGACGGACCGTGTGCTGGAACAGTTTATGAAACAACATAGATGATTTTGCCATTTTCGCCCAGCAGATCCAAAATCTGTTTACAGTCAAGGCTAAAGGCTCCGATGACATGCATTTGATAGCTTTTCCTTCGTTAGCACATACAATTTCTGTTCTTTTGGCACTGACACCGCGACGAAAAGAAGCCGCAGTAGGGTAAAAATGGAGACAGTGATGCTAATACACAAGAATGTGAAGTGGAAAACTACTTCGCGCTACAGGTGTTTCATTTTAACGTTGTTGGGGCCAAACTGTCCTAATAGCTTACCAAAACACAGCAGTGAAAGTTTGTATGCAAATGCTAATGTCTCACTGAACGTCTCTGTTTTTGGCTGACTAATCCTGAGATCAGACAATGACACCATGTGGTCTAGGTTTCGGAAGACGTTTGATACACCAAATACTTTGACCGAAGTGATTTCTCTTATCTAAGTTCGGCAGATGCAATTGCAGCTGGAAAACTTTCCAGTGGAAGAAAGATACTCTTCACAGTGCAGGGTCTGATGTCCAGAACAAGAAAGGTAGTCAGCAAAGTGTCAAGGAAGTTGAGGTCATTTCGGTAATGTTTCCAAGCTACATAGCCAGTCTGGTAGAGGGAAGCAAAAGTCTCAGCTGTATATTTTTTTCACTGACATGAAACTGGTGGTTAGTCAAAGGATCTGGGTTATTAAGGGCCACGTGCTGTATTAAATTATGGCGGACCAGTCTTTCTTTCTACAACATTATCTATAAGCACTCCGGTTACGTCACTTTCTGAGCTCATTTTTAGATATTCATCTGCGCTTTGCTTTTGTTGAAATTCTAACAAAAATTGAGTTGATCTAGTACAAATTTAGTCAGTAAATGCAAACGTGCACATATCTTCTTTCTTTGTATCTTAGTGACTGCCGTGTAAAGCACAGCAACCACTCAGGATGATATTATGGAATCAACCGATCCTGCTACTACAGTTGGCCTTTAAAATATCATTGGAGCTTAGTACTGCAAGGAACAAAGCAGTTGCTTGGAATTCGGCTTCCATGTCCTGCGGGCCAAATTGTATTCGTAAAAATAGTTTACCAACACCTCTTGTGTGCGACGCGAGTGGAAAACATTATGATGCTGCAGTTACCGGCCGGAGAAATTCTGCCCCACAGTGTGGAATAGCCGGAATACCTTATATTAGACGGGTCAGAAAGGTCTTATGGAATATTTGCTTTACTTAAGGGCTCTTCTTACAACGGCCGGCCCTCGTATTTTTCTTCGGATTGTCCACGCCATTACAATGGCGAATAGCCGGAATACCTTATGTTAGACAGGTTAGAAAGGTCTTATGGAATATTTGCCCTACTTAAGGGCTCTTCCTACAACGGCCGGCCTTCGTATTTTTCTTCGGATTGTCCACGCCATAGTCGCAAAGTGAACGTCAAGCAACAGTAACTTTAGGATCTGACATGAAGCTAGCTCCTTTGAGAGTCTGTAAAGTCTGTCGCTGGTGTGTTCACTGGGGTAAGCATTATTAGTGCGTCGTTATGGAGCATAGTAGAGCGTAACAATAAGTCCGTGGTTGTCCGTTGAGTAGTCTTTTGTGTGGTAAAATATGTGCTTCTAGACGGAGCCGGCATCTGATCACGATTGGTTGCTCAATCCAGCGATTCAGTTGATTGTTTTGTTATCCTCTGCCATGAGTAATTAATGACCACGTGACCTTTGAGCTTAGCCTGCCATGTTGTCCTACTCTGATTGACGCTGGAGTGACCCATTTCCCTGACCCATCTGGTTTTCGACTTGTGACCTTTGTTGATCTTATTCCAAGGAGTTTCCTGTTTCTTGGTTAGTTACTCCAATATTAGGCTCTACTGGAGTATTCCAGTTGAAATGCTAGTCTCTTGCACGTGGTGCTGTGTGAATTGGATCCAGTTCAATTCATCAATTGATTAAATCTGCCGTGGGATACTAAGAATCCTGAATTTCCCTTCGATGTTTAATGTCCCCGTATGCCAAAATTTTCTGTTTTTCAGATTAAATGTTTGGCTTTCATGGTCTTCATATATGGATATGAAGAATGGAGGTCATGTCGCCTGACGGCCGCATTGCGTTCCCTCATTTGTACGCATAATTTCCTTTCATTTTGTCCAACGAGGAATTTGTTGCAGTTGATTTGGTATATCACATTCCCCCTCGGCTTCTTCTTGGTTTTCTTTCGCCCCTGAGATCAGTTTTCATAAAAACGCATTCGAATAGCCGTCTACGAGGAATCTTTTGCGAACCAATAACCTGTTTGTGAGTACAGATCTATTCTTGATTCAAGACAGAACTACTCGTCTGGTCGCTTATTCATCCTGTAACTGTTGTTAAAGGGTCTGCTGTTCAAGCTTCTCTAGGATATCTATTGTTCGTGAGTACTACGAATAGATGGTTTTCTTCGGTCTTCCGTGGTTATGTGGTGCTTGCATTGTTTCCCTGGAACAGGGTTTAGACGCAACTCTTTTTGAGGCTCATTGGATTATTGCTGCTGGGATTCAGTATTCAATCAGTATACCACTCTTCAGTATGCACATGCTTCCACAGTGTCGTCCACCTTTCTGTTCACTAGAACTTCCAAGACTTGTATTCGGTTATTTCTCTTCAGTTCAGTTGTAAGATTGGTAACCTCAAACGTGGTATTGAGCATTTCATGAGCAGTATGTGCTGAAACTCGCTGCATGATAACGGAGATGTCATCTATGTAGGGAATCCACAGCCTTGGATTGACGGTTGGTAGTATCACAAGCTCTAACTTTGGCGTCATTGCCACACAACAAAAAGAGGGCCGTCATCGTACGACCGGGGAAAATATCCCGTGAAACCTTTCTGACCTGTCTAACATAAGGTATTTCAGCTATTTGTCATTGTGGGGCAGAATTTTCCCGGCCGGTAACTTCATCATCATCATGTGTTGCATTCGCGTCGCACACGAGAGGTTTTGGTGAACATTTTTTGAGAATACAATTTGGTACGCAGGACAGAGAAGCAGAATACGAAAAAAACTGCCTTGTTTTTTTTAATACTAGGCCCTAGTGATATTTTAGAGGCTAATGGTAACAGAAGGGTCGGTTGATTCCGTAATATCATCCTGGGTAATGTGTGCGCACTGTGTGTAAAGTATGCTCCCACAAATCACTATAAAGGCAAGGAGTAATGGAGTTCGTGGATTAAAAAATAATACCTTTTCGTGGAAGTGTAGTAACTCCGTAAAAGTCCGTCATATTCAGAGAGCACAATTTCCATTTAACTACTTGGACTACAACGATAGTAGCTATTGTTGTATCTTTCCTGGTTGCCCGTTGGCAAATGTTGATTATCTTTTTTATTCACTTACATCCCAGTATACCAGTACTCATAATTGATACCAACAGTGGTGCAAATGTAAAATTCCCACCGAGGGAGACTTTAAACTGAGGTGAAAAATCTTCATATTCTGGGTGACCTGTTATTCTGAGTTCTCCGACATCACGGACCTAGACCACCGATACATCCAGAAACCACATGATCACATCCGATAATGGTAATATAAACAGTGCTTTTTATGTTCTTTTTGTTGATGGTGGCGACGACCATGACTGATAGTGATGTTGATCACAACTTCGGCAACCACGATGATGGCGGTCATGACAATAATAATACTACCAATAATAATAATATAACGATGCCGGTATCAGTAGTGAGTAATCACTTGCGAATTATGTGGAAATTCGGCTCTCAGTTGTCCTGGTCATTTTTGTCGGAATGACGTTTCACACCTCATAGTAATGAACCTAGTACTTTTATTTTGTTTTACAAGTACGTGTGTTTATACCTGAATATCGTGATTAACTTTTTCAGAACACAGTTCGGGCACTCTATAACATCTCTGACCATCCGAGACTCCGCGTTTTGGACTTATTTGGTGAACTAGAAATTACTGGCTTAGATTCTGCAGATGCTGCCGCGGATGTGGCTATGAAAACAAAGCAGTCCCGATGGAAAAAAATAAAAGACAAACTGAGGTGTCATTCAGAAAGGACGAGTGCTTGAAATACGGCTGAAGGAATTTTTCTTTCGTGTTCAAATGCCTTATCCTTACTTTTTATTGACGGCTTATTTTTGTGTTTTCAGTTTTAGGAACTGTATTTGACGTTCGAATATTTTTATTTGAATATAAATTTTTAGTTAACGGAATTACTGAACGATATAGGGCGCATTACACTGTGACCAATAGACGATGGCATGTGCGACCCAACTTGAACTTAAACTGTATTATCAAAACGACTGGGTAGCTGTTGATCTGTGTACTGAGCCGAACAATTTATTTGATGCGTTCCCTCAGCAGATAGGTTGAGATCATCAGTTTCGGGTGAATTTTCACTTCGTCGTGATTTAGAGGTCTGCCGGCCTTTACATAAGGGAGTTTTTTCTTCGCGTACCTCAAATTCTGTCGAACTAAGTAAAGCAACTTCCATGCGTGATCAGTGCACAGTCATACGCCCCACTGGTTTTGGTCTAAATATGTCTAACAAAGCGGTTGCGCCAATCATAATGTTCAGTGAGGCACCTACCAAACACTCCATCAAAATAGCGGATACTGTGATTTTTATAATCAACTTAATTCCAGCATAAGGGCGTTATATACTTTCCACAGGCGGACTATGCAGAGCAGTTTAGGTGATTCAAAGCACAACAAACTGCTTAAATCTAACATTTGTGTAGCAAATCTGTATTCTACTCGAGTTCTGATTCAACAAAGCGACGAATCGGAAACTGGTAACATGATAAAGGTTATAGGAGATGCTATTTTATATGTTAATGCTACTGGGTGGCTGCGCTAAATACGTTTGAATGCAAGGGTGGCACAACCTGGCATATGCGATCAGTTTCTTCCCTGATTGTGTGCCAGGGTGTTTAGATTTTCAACACTTTGAAAAGGCAGATGCTCCCTTCTGTTTTTGTCACCACGTTGCATTTGAAAACATTTTTATTGTCGTACGCCTTTTAAAAGTTGTCTCAACTAACGTTGCTGGCGGAAAGTCACAGCCATGAAAATTTCAGGTAACCAGTTAAATACTTATTCCTATCTACCGCTATACAAAATATCGACTACCTTTCCGCAGAATAATGGAGTGAACTGCATCTTCAATCCAAATTACGTTAAATACGAACAATTTTTAAGGACATGCTTCCGAAAACTCACTCTGGTGATGGAAATCGAAATGCGAAGTGCGTCAACTTCCGATTGTTCTTCCCATGAATGTACTAGTGTCTTGACAACCCAGCCATTGGCGAAAACGTACGTGGAATGGTTCCTCTGGTTCTAGGAGCGCCACTTCGATCTGTTACCTAAAAGTTAGGTAATTAGTTGGTACGTAAAGTAGAAATGGCCTCCCCAAGTGACCCTGGAACTCTATTAGTTGAATCCCTTTTACAACTCACTGATAAATCTTCCTTAGTGGTTTCGCGTCAGTCAAAACTACTATTTCAGGCCCTCATTGGAGAAAATTTCTTGAAGGCAATTACAGGAACGTCATGATGATGATATTCTGCAAACCCAAATGAAAGACTGAGACTGCCTTGGTATTTAGAGGAACGCATAGTAGAAGAATAAACTTTCCATGAAGGAGAGACTTGGAGCTAATCAATAACGGTTTAATGATGGAAGGTGCATAGACAGGCACGGGGTATGAAACTATTACTGGAGGCAACAAGAAGTCATTTTAAACACGTTATATGCTGCAAGACTTTGCAAGATTTTGTGAAATTTGCCATGGGTGAATAAGAAACAGCAGTAAGTACAAAAGTGTTCAAATTCTGGGGTAAATCATTGGCACGGGGATAAATTTTTGACAAGTTGAATTGTGGTGGTGACAAAAAATCGTACCGAAAAAACATAGAAGTAGTGAACAAACACAGAAACTGTAAGAAGATCGGAAACAATCGAACGCCAAGATTCTGTCGCAGGTATTTTATCGTCAGGTTCCTGGAAACTAGATGCCGGGCTCAAAAAGAACAAACAAAATCAAGACATTATTCAGTACATGCAGATATCCAGCCGATATTCTCTTACACCCAGGTAACAAAAAAGAAGATTCGTACTATCCAGAAGAGTTTGGTAAGTTCTCAGTACAACGCTTCTTGGTTCATCTAACGGTCTATTTTGACTGAATTGGGAGGAAAACATGGAGGTACACACCAATGAAAGTTAGCGGGAATAGAAATGTATTTCTGGGTGCCCAGGCCCATAAATTGCTTCCGCTGGTGTAATGAACTTGGACCAACTTGAGCGGATATCACTTCGTTGCACAATGGCAGCAAAGCCATTCGACTGTGGCCTGTATTCGTACAGCTTTGATGCCACCAAATGGAAGGCCAGTCTATTTGTACGTCCAAGTGCGTAGCACCTATATAGATGAAAATTGACGTTTCCAGAAGCTAATTCGCCCTTTACATAAAAGTGCTTGCCTGAATGCATCTAAGGGAGCAACTCTAAACGTCTTAGGGAGCGAAATTAGTGACTGCTTTTTTAAGACTGCGTCTGTTTCAGCCTTCAGAAATTGGATCAGCAGAGCAAAAGTGCCTGAGCCAAGTGGTTACTGAATGCTTGTGAATCGAAGCGTTTTCATTAGGTGACGAATGTTAGTATCCTAAGATCGTTATTTTTTTCTAAGACGAGGTTGTTAAACCTACCTATTGACCAAATCAGCTAAAACTACACAGCAACTAAATGTTGCTAACGGAAGAACACCTAACGTCGAGGAGGTCAGTAAATTCTTGAATGGGATTTAAAGGCCACTGGTTTAAGATAATTTCTCTCTTTTCAGAAATAAACACAACTGGACAGTGAGCACCCAGTTATTGCACAAAGTGAACGTTTTTGGCAACCACTCTCCTTAGAAAACTCCCTTCAGAAGGACCAGTATGACTGAGTTCCGCAGGCGTTTTAAAGAGGTATCTTATCATTCTTATATTGTTTATATTATTCTCACTAGTAGCAACCGAGAAAGATTTTGTTAACCGTTTTCCAAACTTATTACACACACCATCAGAAATTTTGGACTGTGAATTATCAATTTCAACGAAGGAGATGTATTTGGTTAGATTATTGCAACACCGGTGACATCTATTGATTTTTTATCTAGTTTTTGAGCTCGGTTATTTGACAGGTATTCGATGTACAAAGAACAGGTGTACATTTGATCAGGGAAGAAAAAACAAAGGGTTTTTCCATCGGGACTTCGGTCTGGAACACAGTAACCACTCGGTGTTTCTGATGTTCTACTTCACTGCCAAACCACACTTTATCAGAGAAATGCATCTGAAACATTCAGCTAACTAGCAATGAATCAGCTGTAGCTATTCTGAACTGAGCTCTCTCCAGGTTCCGCAATGGTGAGGAAAAATTGATCCCAGGTTTTCTCAGTTTATTAACGAACTCGTATCGATCCCTGCAAAGCAGGCGCTAATAACGCCCGATCTATGTGGAATAGATTGAAACGCAGATCCTGCAGTTGCAACCCCTCGATTATGTCCTTGGTTTTCTTATCAGGATCGTGATCACCATCCTTGTAAATGTCAGCATTATTGATGGGTTCCTGTTCTAAAACCATGAATAAGATGTCTCTTCAACGAGTAGAGAAAAGGGAGAGGCTGGGTATAACTGGAAGAAGCCCCACATCTCGAGGGTTAACAGACGACAGCAAGGTGTCCATATATTTGACACAACTTCAATGGTCAACGACAGATGAACTTTAGCTAAATGACTGTCCTAGGAAAAGGTAACACATCTACCATTTACGAGGCAGGTTCTGCAAAGGTTGTAGCCAAATGTCAGAATAACTACATTAGATACAACCAGCAATATGAAGGATTTTGCAGCCCTCATCTTAGCAGTAGTTATCTTCATTTCACGTTTTAGCATGACAGATGTAACTGAGTTTTACTGCCAAGCGAAAGGATCAGGTACACACTTGCAAAGTAGTGTCCGAGTCTGTTTGTGGAATGAGACGACTGCTATGTGAGTGAATGCCTGACTGTTTGTCGCTGGTCCCCCTGGAAAAATACCAGAACTTATTTGAATTAGACTCGCGAATAGGAGTATTCGAGCTGTGCCTCCATAGTAGGAATGATGTTCACGACAATGCCTGATGTTAATCAGTCAGACCCATGTATTTATTGATTTACGGTCGTTATGCTATCTAGTGATTGATTGTTGACCACTGGTCCCGCCAAAACACCATAAGCCCTAGGCTGTTCCAAGAAGGCGAACTGGATGATTGTGTTGCCTTCTACGGCTCTTTCCTCAATGATTATCATGCCTTCACACGGCGGACACATGGGGATCACTTTTGATTCGGACTGACAAATTTGTTGGATGGCAATCCCTTTGGATGTAGAAAACAAGGACACAGACATTTAGCTCTAATTCAGACCTATCTGATTGTGTGTTCCGTTATGTTATTTCACAGCCGACGATCTGCAAGACGATGGCATGGATCGACCATGGACACTGGGGAATCTCGTAGATTTCGTCCTTTCGTCGTGGGTGGGGAGAGGGTGTTGTGCTTCATGAGTTACGTTGTTATTTCCACTGATCCTGTGACACATTGTTACCCCTTGGAAGCTAGCGCCGGAGTTGCTCACTGTTAAGTTTTTCTCCAGGTTCTAGAACAAGTTCTGATATTTAGGTATATCCCTTGTTTGTTACTAATGTACGAATAATAAATAAGGGAGCTTGTACATGGGTAAGTGGAAACTTGTGCAGTTCATTCAAATCTCTGCTTCGATCGAACATTACTATAAGAACTTGAAAATTATTTTTGCACCGTTTGTGTAGCACTCGCCTACACAAGGACTTGGCAGCATTAACATTACAGTAATCTGGTAGGCTGATATGAAAATTCGTTTCGTTGCATGGAAATGATGTGAGAATCAAGGCCGTAGGTGAAAGGATGGCCCAGAATACTGTTTAAGTTCCGTGGAAAAAGAGCGAGATGTTAACTTAAGAACCTTCAAGGTGTGTGTTCTCATGAGAGACTACTAAGACGACGAGTTAAGAAAAAGAATGACGCTGAATAATATTTTGTTGAAAAAGACTTATCCAGTTGTTCCCATTTGAACCTTTTTGGTCAGTTGTATAGTTTCGTTTGAACTTCCATCAGGTTAGCAGTGTTTCCAGGTGTGTTTGGTGGATGAAAGTGAGAAATTAAGAACAATGTTTATCGGTGTTTCCTGGCTAGGCATGTCGGCCATGTCGGTCACAGATTACCAAAAACAATTGTCATGGAAGAGTAGCGCACACCTGTGTCGTATTTCACAGGATGTGCAAAACGTGGTTTTATGTGCGTGTGAATTTAGTTGCAACTGGATCGAAGGATGTATTCTGTTGAAAACCTATCACATGATAGAGAGAGTTCACTTTGGGACGAAAGTCTAAGCAGTGACCATGCGCAGCCTACGAAATCCAAGTGGCTTTATGATCAGGATTGAGTTTTTAAGCCATTCAAATGCTAAACATTACGATCAGCCACCATCATTAGTGAGCCCAAATCACACGCAAAAAATCGATCTTCTCGGTATCTTGGACAAGGACTTTGCAAAATATGGTTAAATATTGAGTGATATTTTAAAGGTATTAATGAATTATTCTATCCGGTCTAGCACATAAAGTAGTATGTAACCTTTGCAGCCCAAAGGGAAAACCACACTGAGATCCAAATTATGTGATATAGTGTAGGACATTGTAATGTTGTAATGTTGCATTGTAATGCTGCGAAATAGGTGTCTTATTGACGGTTTAATTTCCGGACGTGACTTTGAATATTGCTGCATTCAGCCAAACAGTAGATCATTACAACAGGTCTCCAAAATGTCTTGAATAACCGCCTATGATAAGTAATTACCACAACTTCCAACATCCATTGATTTTCAAAACGTTTATGATGTCCAGTATATAAGACAAGTCTGGTAGGTCAGGTGGTCCATTTGTTTGTTGAGGTTTACAATCTGGGCGCAAGCATTTCATCGCCAATCAAGGTGATGTTGTGCAATAAATAACACTCTCATCCTTGAATCCTAAAAATAACAAGGATGGTATGAGAATTCTTGGGAAAAGATAACACATAACTCGCTTAAATTTAGCGAGTGTTTTCCCCAACCATTTTCTGTGGTTATGGTTGGCCATTCCAAAAGATAATGCTGTCTTCAATGGTGCTTTTGAGCTAGCATAGAATTTGGTAGCGCAGGAAATTTAAAGATTATTTAACTAATATTCATCCATTCAAAATGGATTTTAGTTTGAGCCAGCTGTTTATCTGTATTAAAAACTTCCTTGTCGTATACAAGCAGTATTTCTTCAGCATCTTCACGTCCTGATTGCAAGTAATCGATTATTCGAAGAATAGAAGCGAATTGCGCAGTAATTGGAAAGTATAGCATATCACGTGAAGTATTCAACTATACAGCTGAAATAAAATTCACAGAGACAATAACAATTAATAAGTCCTCTCAAGACTCAGTTCATAGGGGAACCTACATTGTGGACATGAAGGTAACTGCCGGAGGGAATAACTTTTGACTACACACTCTAAGTTGTTGACGACCTTCGTTGTGACGACCCATGATCCCCTGTGACCCGCCAAGCTATGTCGAAGTTTTTTTCATGGCATTTATCAAATCTCTCACTTCGAGCGCTTCAATGGACAGACACCGGACTAACGAAGGTTGACGGCCCATTCCGATTAGGGATCTGGGGTCTGTGGTAACCTGGCTTTTAATAGTGGAACCACCTCAGCAGATTTCGACAACCAGTTCTACCTTGCGGTCAATTTTTTTAAAAAATACTCTTTTTATGGGCCTAATAGTCCTCCTACTCATTGTCGGCCGCTGGTCTGTACCTCAGGTCATCCACAACCATCGACTCAGGAGGTATCATCAATTTCATACCATATCAGCCGGGTCATCCCACGTGCCATGCACAGCAGAAGGTTCAGGGAAAAAACAGGCCTCCACTGAGATCTCTCGTCTGTATTATCTCTCAACTCCCAGTCAAGTTAACGATCATTTTTCTGTCAACCCAGACGAAACAACATAACCCTGTACTAGTAGGCTTGATTAATAGGATGTCAGTGATTATGTTTCACACCCCGACTCCGACACTCAGATAACGTTCCTGCCTTCATTGCAACTTTTGGTGTGGAAAGTGAAGTGTAATTCAGCCGAAATGATGGTCTAGTGAGTATCATTGGCATTTTATCAAAAAAACATTGGACGCTTTCTCGAAATTCGAATGCAACATCCAATTACCGTAATCAAACATAAGGCAACCTCGTTATCTGAACTGTACCACTTGAGAAATTCGGTTGTTGAAGTAGTCTATTCAGGATAGTGTGGCTTCTTGTTCCCGAGCTGGACCTCCTTTAACTGAGAGGATCTCCCAGGCACAGTTGCTCATATGTCCATAACATGCAAGATGAAATCCATTTTTATAAACAGTTCAGATTCATCGAAAGACATTCGTCACTGAGAGCTGATCACTCTGATACTCTGAACAAAATTATGTGTTATTCTAGTGGCACGTGATCTCAGTGCACACACCAGACCTATCGGTTCACCAGTGGTGCAACTTGATAGCCCCTGTAGCTTGGACTAAAGGTTCAATGAGGGTAGTGATAATATTTTTCACCAGTTGTTACTCAGGGACACCGAATGCAATCTCTGGACACTTTCTAATCGAACTTAGAATGAGCACTTCTTCCTTGAATGACTATTTAGATTACATGATTGCAGCACCTGAAGTACTCGACGGCTTATTATTTTAGAGGTGTAGAAAATTTCAGCGGGCAAGCCACGTTAGACGAGAACAGCGATGTTCACATTTAAGTAGTATATTTGTATGTTAAAAGACATGTTAGTAAACTTTTAAACAGATCCATGGAAAATGTTTTCAATGAAGGCGTCATTAGAAACGAATCAAAATGGGCAAATGCATTGAAGACACAAGAGGCGCTACAGGAAAACGACCCGTCAAAAGATACCTAAACGAGAGAAGAAAATTACCGTCATTAGAAGTTAGCCGATAACATAAGTCGGCTAGGATTCATGCAGATTTAAATGTCAATTGGTCCGTCAGCTAAGCTAAGCATTTCGGCTGGATTTGTCCCAGCGCTTCTCCGGATGACACTTTCATACGTTTTTGGTTGACTTACGCGATTCTCCATGTCTATTCGGAAGAAGTGAACTTCGTTTGTGATCAGGGGCTCGTGTGTGCCCTCCCATTAGTCCGTTGTCCGGAGGCTCAAGCAACACAATGCACTGATAATGCTTACCTGCTTGGTGGCCAAAAACATAAAATGAAATGTCTAGTTTATTGAGCTACTAGCACTCTCCACAATACCAATGTGTATGCCAATTCTGTACCTTCACATCAGTAAGGCAAAGGACGCACTGTTCATGTTGTGAGATTCGATCCAGCTTCAATGACTTTCACTGGAATGGGGGGGAACTTTGATGGAAGTACATTTCCGGAAGAACAAGCCCTTCAGCATAAAGCTGCAAAATCAATGCTTAGCAGTTCTGTAGTCCAGGAGAACTAACGGATTATTAATGTGTAGTGATTCAGAAATAATATGACTTAGGCGAAAAATTGTGTGCGAAAATGAGCTGCTGTAAGATATACCTGATAGATCACCAGCGTAGTAAACAAGAAAACCCTGAATTCACTAAGGTATTTGGCGTTTTTTCACGTTGTGCCAAGTATACATGCCAAAAGGCATCCCTCGTTTTCATGAGGTGATATTTCTCGCAAGCCACTTAACTGCTGACATTTCCAGTCAACCGTCTGTCCCATACAAGTTTTGAACTCAACAGATGTATTAAACAGATCAGTGTAATGATGGAATTACTCAACTGAGAAAACCCCCCATGTAGTTATTTGTCTATTGCCTTGTTTCACAATGAAGTTCCAGCCTGGCATGTAGTATCTGCTCGGCTTGTATTCGTAGAACAACTCGGAGAGGTTAAGGATTTTTCGTTTTTAAGAACCCGACTAAATAGAGTTCCAACTATATTGAAGCAACTGCGTTCTTGCACTTTATCAAAATACCAGATGCCCATCCTCATACAGTGCTTTTCATCCACCTGTTCTATTCCTTTGTCGGTACTTGTTCGCTGAGGATACCGCTATAACCAGATGTTGAGTAGATGTACGATGCGATGAGGTCAACAGACTACATGCAACCTACTATGATATTTGCCACTTTAATTCCAACGGCCAACTCAATATGAACAGTGCTCATGCAGCAAACCGGTTGCATTGCGTAGGAGCAGATTACCTCACAATACGTGCTTTAGATTAACATGGAGTTCCTAGCTCCCCGCGTAATACGACAATGCTTGCAGCATTGTAATAGGTCTACATGGAAACTGCTTATAGACCAGACTACCTTTAGACTAACTCGGAGGCATAATACATGCTGTACAGGAAGTTTAATTGTACGCAACTAATCCAGAAATCTGGAACAATTTTATCTCTCCAGTAGACTAAACGGAAAGTGGAAGACGAGCTCATTTCCTATCCGATCGTCATACCAGTTTGCCAATCACAAGAATGTAAAGATTTTATGGTTTCTACAAAGCGACTTTGGCCAGATTGCTACCGATCGCTTGATCAACGTAGAGAGGCAGCAAACATCTGATGTTCAGGGTAGCCTAAGACTTAAATACAGTTTGTTTTTGGATCCACAATGAAGGACTAAATTGAGTTATTGCAGTTACCTCCACAAATGTAGCATCATATAAGCTTTTGAAGGTTAAACGAAATGACGGAAGTTGTGGTGACTTGGCGGCGGACCACGAAGCTGATTTCAGCCTGCCGTCCACCGGTTTGTTCAGATGTCATAAGTCACGTGTTCTGCAGCTGCAGTAGCTCCGCTCAAGTCATCCTTGGGTATCTAAACTGAAACCAGTGTAACAATCGGATTGATTTGTAACGTGTTCCTCATTGCTGATCGCTCAGTCAGTAATCACGTGGATACTGAAAAAGTCTTTCTTGTGATCGGCACGAAATGCACATCTAGGTTCTCTCTTTTGACTCTGTTTTTTAACAGTCCTGAAAACCGAACTGCTGCGGGCTATGGATTTCTACAGAAAGTGATTTTAAAATGACATCAGAAAATTATTGTAGTCTTGAATGGTTCATCTTTTTGTTAAAAGGAAGTGCCTGTATCTTTCCATACCATAGTTAAAAAAGCTTACTTGCTATTATCCCCGTTCGTATTGGTTGGCTGAAGGTCAAGTTCTTGATTGTCTCTTGTATGGTTGCCTTTTGGCCGGACGTGCTGAAACAGTTTGTTTTGTGGGATACGGTGCTGAATCACCTGTTAATAGACGTAAGGCGGGTGGTTGCTTCGGAGTTAAAGCCTCTTTATTCTCGTTGAGACGTTCCGGAAGGCGCGTTTGTTTCGCTTCGACTTGCTTTTCAACGCTACTCGAGATGCCTTTGTTGGATATCAATTGCTTCGAAGGTGGAATGTGGGACGACGAAAACGAGTTCTAATAAAAACAGAAGAATGGAAAATGAATAAGGCAATACTGCGCAAAAATTTTGAAACAGAAATTGGGTGGGTTGAATGGGATGGAAGCTCTTAGTTAGAAAAATGTTGAATAACACAAAGATACAATACAGGTTGTCATATCACTCCTTCTGTTCTTTGCTGTGCACGCATCCGGCTGCAGATCTCACGTAGAACACGTGAGCCGGATGTGTGCGTAAATCGATCGCCATCGGCTTGCTGTTGTGTGGATCTGACTGTGAATCTTCACTCGAGATAACTAACTGAGGACTAAAGCTTATCTAATTGGAAGCTAGATTGACGGAAGTTGGACTCATGGTTTAGTTCAGGTTTTGACTTAGCTGGATAAACATGTTGATCGTGGTTCCTTCAAAAGCTACGGATAGACCGGAGAACGTGTCCAGTTTGATCGCCGTTCGTCATGTGTTGAAAGCTCCTAAGGTCAAAGATAAGAACCCTTCCAAACAGACAGTACAATAAAACTGAGCGTTTTGGCTTTGTATTAGATAAAACTAAGCACAAACCAAAATTTGCATAACATGGCATTTCAACAGGAAAAAACCGGAACTAGATTTTTCTACCTCAAATAATTCGCTTACCAATATCCTTCGCCAGTGAAGTCAATTTTTGAGAGCTTCAGTGTGAACTAATACGTAGAAAACCAAGTAAATCTGTTGCAGATTCTAGCAAATTTCACTGCGCATTATGAAGTAATCCAAACTCTGATGAAGCTGCGGATGTAATGCGGTTTGGTTTCACCTGAACAAGAGCTGGATTTACAGAGGCATTAGCCCATGTGGATCTCCATGTAAGAAGCTACTAGTTATCAATAGTAACGTGATATGTGTCTGTGCTGCGCATAAGCAGTGATGGTCTACTGACCTTCCAATGGTCACTGACTCATCTGCTGAGTTGTACCAATTAATTCCCTGTTCATTAATCCGGATTTGCATGGCGGATACGTGGGAAAGTCTTTTGACTGTATAGAGCAACAAAATGAACTCTGAAGACTATGAGTTGTGTTAGGTAACAATGCGTCAGAATTTGACAGTCGTACTCAGAAGTTTTAGATGGATGTTAGTTTGTCACCGATGCTTGGAAACCCCTAGGATTTTAAATGTGGTGGGAACTAGCTGACAAGATTCATCCGATTCTTACACATCCTCTTGAGCCACTTGAACAATGGAATCTCGAAATGCACTACGAATCTGCCTGAAAACTACGTTGAATCTTCCCGCAATAGGCGCCTGCCATTTCGATACGTTTGGTGTAGACGCTGTTCGATAATTGTCTTATATGGTTTCCTTGGATACGCCGTAAACAGGAAATGTCTAGAAACCAATACTAGAGTTGTCAGGTGAGGATAGACCAACGATAATTTTGGACGGAAAAGATGAGTGATCGTATGGAAGGCTAATCCAAACTGTTCTCTACCATGGAAACGCGTGCGCAGCGCTTACATTTTGCAAACATTGGCCAGATTTTATTTAAATGTGTGTACTGTAATTGGCTGCGGTATGTGTCCTTCTTTGGTGTGGTGAATAAAGGTCATTAGCTTCCGTCACTGGCTGTTTACCAAAAGTATCATAACTACGTGCCCAATTAAGCGGCGCATCAACAGATCAGTCTACTCAAAACGGCATTCTATCGTGTTAAAGGTAAAATACGCGATAGTCTTCCTTAATGAGTTTCAATTAGTGGGAGCCCATCCCAGTAAACGGAGGCGAAAAATCCGTTCGCATGATACAAGGCCCAGAACCAGAGGCTTCCTCAAGCGTAAAGTTGGCCCCATGCATTAGTATTTTTCCAACATTAGTGCATGTATTATGAATCGCGGAGAATACAAACGAAGTCAACAGCGAAATGTTTTTGTTTCATAAGACATGCTCACTTGTGAAATAAGACCGTGCTATCAGGTGGGGACATGACAAACAAATTGGGTAGCACACCAATGGTGGAAAAACAGGAAGAAGCAACGGCTAACGGAGAACTGTGGAAACAGCCCTCTATCGAATTGAATAGTTGCTGAAGGAGACCCACGTGTGCAAACTGTCCCTAAGTTCGTAGTGATGCAAGGCGATCAAGTCAGTAACAGCTTTCTCGATATCTTGAAGCTAGACCAGTGCTATGGGTTTCGGCGTCTTGACCAATTTGATGGCCTCCACTTGAAGCCCATCGACACGCACAAACACATCAGTCAAGTCATCTTCGTTGACTTGCTCAGGCAGGTTGGTTATACACAAAGCCCTACTAGATGCGCACAAGTTCTGCAGTGAGCTTTCGGGCGTCGGAATCAAAGCAATCGACGACCAATGTATTCCCGATTCACTTGATTGATATTTTCAGCACTCGCCTCCTAGTTATCCTTTCTAGGCACGGGGATAGTAACGGCCCTATTCTTCGACAAAGTACAAGTTTATCTAGATGGTTCACAGCCATCTGGACCAATTTTTACTGTAATTTCTTGCCCGAGGAAGTTCCCTAAGAAAATTATGAAAGGGTGTGTCTTTTTGAATACTTTTCTGTATTTAGCCTCCTTCTGAGATACTACTTCACAGTAAGGCAATCTATTCCTTAGGGGATTTGCAAAAGGAGTACGCTTCTCTGAAACTGGTCACCTCAAAGATGGGAAGACATTAGTCCATCAGATAGTGACTAACGTCAGGACACAGTAACATAAACTGGAATACAGCTGGATGATACAATATGATACATATTGATGTTACATTTCGCCAAATAGCTAATATGGATATATATTTTTTCGTAAACCGTGTTTGAAGGCAGTAATATTACAGTTATATCGCACTGGAGAAAGCGCCCATAGCACAGTGAGAGTCACAGAGGGTCATACACGAGTTTACACTCAAGCGAGACTCTGATGTCATAAACGTTTGTGTAAAGCAATAGCTTTCTGAAGGAGGTTTCCTAATTCTTACGGTGGTGGCGCTTTTAGCGAGCGATAAAAGTGGTCTTTATAGGGAAATATCTGCTATATTGCGGATGTTATTAATGAGAGTCAAAATACCAATACGTCGGTTTCTTTGCATCTTCTGACTGGTACTGAAATGTTAGACATTTTCATTAGTATGCACCACGACGATCGATAGGGAACTTTTCTGTAACTTATACATACACATACATATACATATATTCGTAGTTGTTCGCTGGTTATTATGAAAATTCCGGTACCGATCTGAGAAACCCGAATAGCAATCTGTGAAGTCATCAAGACACTTGAACAATATGACAATTGGCCTTGTGTATCTCTTAATTACATTGCCTGTATGAATGTTTTTATCAGATACCTCCATTGAGTTATGAAGTCGTGCTTTTTCGTCGTCTTTCTGTTGATCTTCACATACTCTTGTGAAAAGACTCTCTTTGTGGTGTGGTCCATGAACCCACTGTTCTAATATTATACCCGATTCTGGATAATCCTTACAACCAACTCCCATGAACTGGACTCATATTCATAGTCGCATTGGTGTTAAATCTGCGTTTACAGTGACCGATCCCAGCTTCTCCTCTTTGAAACGAGATGCTAAGTGCTAACGGTTTTTACAGCTTTTGTCTAAACAAGGGGGCTTACACTGCTAGGCTCTGAAGTGTTCATCCTTGGTATAGTTGTTTCCATCCATTCTTAACNAAAGCGCCCATAGCACAGTGAGAGTCACAGAGGATCATACACGAGCTTACACTCAAGCGAGGCTCTGCTGCCATAAACGTTTGTGTAAAGCAATGGCTTTCTGAAGGAGGTTTCCCAATTCTTACGGTGATGGCGCTTTTCGCGAGCGATAAAAGTGGTCTTTATAGGGAAATATCTGCTATATTGCGGATGTTATTAATGAGAGTCAAAATACCAATACGTCGGTTTCTTTGCATCTTCTGACTGGTACTGAAATGTTAGACATTTTCATTAGTATGCACCACGACGATCGATAGGGAACTTTTCTGTAACTTATACATACACATACATATACATATATTCGTAGTTGTTCGCTGGTTATTATGAAAATTCCGGTACCGATCTGAGAAACCCGAATAGCAATCTGTGAAGTCATCAAGACACTTGAACAATATGACAATTGGCCTTGTGTATCTCTTAATTACATTGCCTGTATGAATGTTTTTATCAGATACCTCCATTGAGTTATGAAGTCGTGCTTTTTCGTCGTCTTTCTGTTGATCTTCACATACTCTTGTGAAAAGACTCTCTTTGTGGTGTGGTCCATGAACCCACTGTTCTAATATTATACCCGATTCTGGATAATCCTTACAACCAACTCCCATGAACTGGACTCATATTCATAGTCGCATTGGTGTTAAATCTGCGCTTACAGTGACCGATCCCAGCTCCTCTTCTTTGAAACGAGATGATAAGTGCTAACGTTTTTTACAGCTTTTGTCCAAACAAGGGGGCGTACACTGCTAGGCTCTGAAGTGTATCTGAAGTGTTCATCCTTGGTATAGTTGTTTCCATCCATTCTTAACACTTGTGACTTTCAAGAGGTACCTTGGCCCTTAGTTCAACGTGATCTAATGAATAATTCTGTATGGCGGTGTTCTTTATTACAGCTTCATTACCAATGGTTGAGTTTATTACTGTTTTGTAGAGAAAGGTGAAAGAAAGCTATCGTAATTAGTTTTTTTCTGGAAGGGAACCAATGAAACCAAATAAAAAACCGGGACGAGGTTATTTTGTAAAAATCGGGTAATTCTTACGAGTTACAATAGCTTTTTTTACTGTATTACGGATGAATCTGTGATCTACATATGGTTCTCCTGAAAGCTTCTTAAGTTAGCATAGCTTGCGCTAGAATCAAGTGACAAGTAACGGAATGAGGTAGTGAAAGGCCGAAAAACATGCAGACGGTTCTTGAGGGTTCTTGGAAACCCCTCACTACGATTATGGTCGAGGCCCACGAGATATCAACTCTCTCTTGACGAACTTCAAAGAGATAAGATACCGAAAGCATTAAATGATTAACTTTACTAACATTTCATCCCCATATGCACGCGTGTTTGTATGCGACACTCAGAACAGTCTGTTGAAAGTGCGGAAAAACGGAGACGCCTGGGTAAAAATCAGACACGTAAACTCCTGACTTCACAGGTGATTTCGGCTTGAGAAAGTGGTCTACGGCATTACCCCGTGGGCAGTTATTTTATAGCTCAGGATTCGAGCGACTAAGCTGGACTAGTATCTTCTGAGGGTGATATTCTTAAAGAATGATGACTGTACAATACCAAGGACTTTTCGTCACATTTTGATACATCTTGATACAACTTGATGAAAATGCAACAGCATATTTGTACCACCGTGACAAGCTTGATAGTGGGTGAGTTTCCTAATTGAATGATCCTAACACTTTCAAGCACTGTAAACTGCTTAAAACCGTTGGTTTCGAAATTAGGATCAGAGATTATATTACTCTGGACTAAACACTTGTATTAGGTCCTCCCCATGCGTGTTCTTTGAATTGTTCAACATGCCGGCTTTCAACAAATGAAGGCGAAAAGAAAACAATACGTTTTCATCCTCGTCCAAAGCCAGACGACTAAAGTAATATTAATAATCGTTCAGCTCTACCACATTTTGGTGCCCGCCACGCTACTTGAAGGGTGTAAGAGGGCTGGAATACTGCGTTGAAAGGAGCAGTTGAGGTTCTGAAATAGGGCTTGAACCACGGACCATTCAGTTAGGAAGTCTGCGCCTTAAAAACCAAACTGTCTACAGTTTTAGTCAAATGACTATGGTAGAAATAGTTACCTATCTAGCATGACACACTTAGAGTTTTGTGTTTCGTCAACAGTGATATACCTTTGAACCGTATCCTCTATGTACTGGATAACTGGAGTTAGAATTGGCCTGATGTTGCATTCTCGAAGACTGTTTCCGTAAGCCTCGAGCAATCCTTGAATATGCGATGATGGTGAGAAGGGTTGCGATAAGAAGAAAGGCCAAACTTGCTCCGATAATCACTGAAGGCGAAACAACCTGAGCAGGGCTGGGAAAGACGCGTGAATCATTTCAGTTAGAAAACTCACGTGGGTGTTTTTTGACAGATAGCAGCAAATAAATTTTAGTTGACAGGGTGTGTCCTCCATGATGCCTCATCAAACACTTCGAAGGAATGAACATGCTGTGAAAGTAGCTAAATACCAGACTGGTCAGCTTGCGGAATCGGATGGGATAATTCGGAAGAGTGCAAATATGTGGATAGTCTTCATAAAGGAAAATACTTACGAGGTTGCTGAAGTCACTTCGACAGCCCACGACCGGTTTTGTCCTTCTTGGGGCTCGTCAGGTAGCCGAAGACACCGAATTTTCCTCAACCTAATGTTCTACTTAAAGACAACTTGGACCGTTTTCAAGAAATACACTCATTAGCCAATCATTTTTTCGCGAGAGACCCAACCGGATCTCTCATTTATAATATTATTCGACTGAATGTGCTGTACACAGGCCGCCTCGTGTTCTAGTTGTTACGATATTCGGGGTATCGCAGTATATTTTCATAAATGATAGTCTGTTTACGGTCTTGCACCCGAGCGTGTGCCAAACGAATCCTCCCATAACTAGTCTCAAAATAGGTGTCCATATTAATAACAAAGGCTGACATCCCAGCGTAGGCAATTGTCAAATATTGGAACAGCACAGTGATGAAATCTGTTTTGGCTTTGTCGCATTCATTTATTGTTCATTAATCTTTTGAATTAGGAAGGGGGTGGATTGCCTCGTTAAGGAACAAACATACTGCAAGTATGGGTCAAAGCAATCAAGCATATCGACCTAAATGTTTCAGTTTTTAGCACAAATTACCATCCCACAATGTGGGGAAAACATATTTACTCATAAACGGCCGCCTTTATTACGCATGGTGTCTGCCTCTGGGTAGTAATATCGCGTGTTCAGAGAACGTTACTCTGTTCATTCAAACTTTGTAAGATTTTTCTCGTTTCTCTCCAATTATGCAGCATTTTCAATTGAGGGGGTAAGAAACCTTTGGCCCTGGCAAATACCTTGATAAACCAGCCTGCATCTGTATAGAGTTTTGACTCTTGGAAAGCCGAGGTCTCTCCGGAATAACGAAATGCGCTCAAGACGGCTGACTGTCTCTTTTCGAAAATAAGAAATGCTCTGTTGATTCAGCACGTTCTTAAGGCTGCTGAAAAATCTTCGACAGCCCACGAGTGGTTTCATTCTTCTTGGGGGCTAATCAGGTAAGCACAGTCCCTGACTCTCCACCAACCTTCTCGAAAGCCCAAAGAACAGCTAAAACGTTGAAGAGTTTTCAAAACACGTCTGAGTAGTGTTCGGTCTAGAGAACATATTAGAATACCATACCAAATTACGCATGCGTATTTCAAGAATGACTTTGAGTTCAAGCAGTTAACCCAAAGCAGATGCTCGTTAGCGCATGTTTGAACAGCTTTTGCCGGCGATGTATGTGGATGCCGAGTCGATCGCTGTGTTATTAACATTACTTTCTGTAACACTACAGTAAGTGCAAATAACTACATAGTGGTGTTTTTCGACCCGATATTTCTGTTTTTTCGCTCTAGCTCAGTGCGATCTGTACTCATTTTCATTCTTTTTGCATAGTTGCAAAGGCTGAAGAATGATAATACATGAAGTGTTTTATTAGCTCCCAAAGCAGGCTCTCGGGAAGGTGTATTATCCACAAAAAGTCCCAGAACAATACCTACCTAGGTGTATGAACTAGATTTTAGCCACACTTTCTTTTGTCAGCCGAAATATATGGTCATCAACATTGGGTGTGTTTCGAATGCAACATGTCTAATCCTCGGATTAATAGACTGGTCGTTAGAAGTACTTGGCAGCTAGACTAAGTAGCCAGAGTAATGACTCCAATCATAGGCCTGATTATAACATTTTGATGAGTTGCGCATATGGCTTAAACTCCTATGTTGAACATCCCATGAACATTGACATAAATGACCATGCTCAGGATAGTTTTTACACCACATGTTAAAGTCCTTTCCGAATAATTTCTGACAAATAACTTCAGGTCCTAATCTGTCCGACTATCGTAAAACAACGGCGTTTTTGCAGAGTTCTCAACCATTGCTGACCCGTTACGAAACCGCCCAGAGTTTTGAGAAATTGCTTGTCTGTCCTTCTATGATGGTGAATTATACACGGAGATTTTGTGTCTTCATTCCGCTACCTGGACTTAAAAATTCCGCAATAACATTATTGTCTCCATCAAACCCTTATATGCCCAAACGCTCCAATAACTAAACAAAATTGCTACCCCTGGTTCTTGTGGACAGAAGTGAAGTTCATTTACCTTATTAGGAGGAAGCTAAACTAAACAACTTGTCTGTGCGAACATTAATCTGAGTTTGTGCAGACAATGCGACCGAGAGAACGTCAATGAAGAACAGTCACAGTACATGGTGACGAGTCCGCAGGAATTCCCTGAATTTGTGCAAATTGGTAATGGTGAAAAACTGGTATGAAAACTTGCGTCCCACTATAACTTGTTGCCCGAAACTCAAACTTCACCTGCCAAGGGAACGTACGTTCGCAGTTGATTAATTTCATTGCTTTTTTACTATTGGTAGTTTGTCGTATCGGTGCGAAAATGCATATCCTCAAATCAGTCGAGCTAGTTGCGTAGGCTGCTCTGTATAAGTGAATAGCCCAGTCAACTATGGTTCTATTTGAATGCAACTGCCGAGTGCGACGCATGTTTTTGTTCGTCGCTACAGTTTTGAATTCCTCAGTTTATCACTTCGTCAGGTTCAATTTGTTGATTTCCCTTCTGTTAGCCGTCTTCCATTAAACAACTCAACGCAGGATAGCAGTATCATTACGAAACTCACATATCGCCTCACATCCCTCACATCATAACGTGCTGTGGTAAAATTCAACAGGTTTAAAATAGAAAATCGTTAATCGTGCAGCACACACAGCACAACTATTAACCCAGTATTAGAAGCGGACTCACCTAATTATTCGTACCCCGGCACTGGAACAAAGCAGAAGTTAGTATAATAAGTTTATGCGAGAGGGGGAACAATAATATACCTGGCAAAAATACTGGCTCATGCAATCTTCTGCAAACCTATGTAAGCATTTTAACCCGATATGCTTAATCCGTTTCAGTGCAGTAATCAAGGTTCTTCAATAACGACAGTCAAAATGTGGGAAAACAATGCAGTTGATAGAGCATTCATGCTACGGGATTTGTGGGATGTGTATTGTTCACATTGACATCACTTGTTTGAACAGTCATCCTCCGGTTCAAACCCCGCACGGCCATTGGATATGCACTGCTGATGAGCTCTAATGAGAGTGAAACTCGAGTCCAATGCTTCCCTTTGGTGTGGGCTCACCGAAATATTTACCCTAGACAGACCTATGGGCCAATACACTTCTCATAAAGTCACTGAAAACTCTTCGAAAGCCAACGACCGGCTCCGCACTTCTTGGGAGAAACTAGTGTTCCTTAGAAACACCATAAGCGAGAAATTCAGCTGGGTTCCAAGTGAGTCTCTCGCAAAACCAAGGTTGAATGCAAATAAGACCTAGGGGTCATTAAGGTCTGGTCAAAACGCGGATGTGCATACCATCTTGTTAAAAAAGGGGTAGCTTGTGCGGAATGATATCCTCCTGCCTTTGGTCTCGTTATCGGGAAATATTATATTCTAATGGCATGAAAACGAATGGTTTAATGGAAAAACTGTGAACTGATTGAATGGGTTGTTCAGAAAACCTACATGAATTCCGCCGCGCTACAACAGAACTGCTGTGTAACCGGCCCACAGCAGTACCGCTTCTCCTCGCTGGTGGCAGTACCAGTTGGAGGTAATTTGGGACAAACGAAATAGCCTGTTTGAACTTGTGCACTCTTTTCCGGCATCTTGCACACTCCAAAACGCTCTAGAGATCATTTTGACATCACGAACATTAATGTTTAACTTACCAAGTACCTCGATGCTAGTGATCTGCGGCTTTAGGAATTCTGGGATATCAACAAATTGCAAAGATTGGTACTTGGAGTACAGCTCACGCTTTTGCTTCATCGTTCTGAATGAAAGATAGCTTTTTCTTAACAAAATCACTCACAGTCCACCGTAACGCTTAAGAACTTCGTTAGGAATATCTGGAGACATCGACTTTTGTGTTGACACCAAACGTCCAAGGGAGCCCAGAAGGACAGGTAGGGTGAACAATAGAATGGAAGCCATATCCTCCATAGTGAATCTTTGGCGGTACAACTGATGCTATTACCATATAGGGAATCAAGTCAGAAGCCGCAATTCACCCTCTTCCAGGTCATTAGTTGTACCTGGAATACAAATCAAATGGAGCATATATATTCTATCTGAAAGAGGGTCGTTGATTCTACTGAGAGATCCGTAAACATTACATCACATATCAACGTGATGATCTGTGTTGTTCTGCATCGATGTGAAATGGGCAATGCTGTCTTTGAGAGCAGATATATTGAATGCATATATTTATTCACTCTATGAGGAAAGGCGTTTCAAGTAATGAAGCCAACCAAGCCCAGGGCTAGTCAATTTGAGGGGTTCATTACACTGTCGCCGATCCAGAGCTTTACCAATCAAAGTCCTCACATCTAGGCTGGGTCGAGTGGATGAAATATAGCTGCATGCCGTGACTTCACAAGATATTCGTGTAGTTTATCCATACTTAAAAGCAGCTTTCACTAAATTGTCGTTCATTCTCTAAACTTATGCTTGTCCATAGGTGCTGGTTGTGACAGCTGTCTGAGCACTATTATACCCAATGCTATCCTCTGTAACTTATTAATATGTTGCTTATTAGAGTTGAAGCTGTATATTCGAAACACGATACAATACATCTCTCAGCTGATCATCGTTTACCAAGTTGGAATATCGATGGAGAAAAAAGAATTCACTAGAACACGTATGTGACAGCTCGTGTGGAATTGGACTGAATGCAAGAAACTTATCTTCAGTCGCCTTTTTTCACAAATTTATAGATGATCATAATAAGTTCTACTCCATTTAACACATTTCCATCGGTATGTGTAAAATTGGCTTCTACCTGGGATCCTTCTGCAATGATTTATTGACATCTTTCAAATCTCCTTCGGACTATCATCAAGATTTCAAAAGGAGTTGGAAACCTTTCTGTTGGAACGGGAAACAGGAATTATGAAAATCCAAAAAAGCCAAGATATCCCATCCAAATGAAGGCCATGAAGCGGGTTGGCTGTTGATTTCAAACAATGTACCTCCTCGCCAAATACACTCGTTTTCGCCAGTTTGGTTCAAGTAAAACAAAAGGTTGACGGAAACTCAGGGGCTTCACGTATCTGATGAGCCAAAGTGCGGAAACGTTTGTGGGTTGTCGGATATTTCAGCAAACTTATGAGAAGACACATTCAATAAAATTAAATGCCGGTCCATTTCAACTCATAAACATATAGATGAATACGTCTAGTTTGCCGCAATGCTAATAGTCGTGCAATCTGATAACAAATTGTTGAGATTGATAATCTGGTAAAAACCAGTCTTATTTCACCACGAACCTTCGGTTCTCATGTCCACCACCGACCACGGCCACATCTAGACCACCACAATGGGCAGGTTAAAATACAATGTCCGCATCTACCCACGCATGTGTTTGTAAGCCAGCAATAGGGTGATGTATCTTGTCTCTAATTTTTGCTTTACCTCAAGCACCGTGAACACCATCTCGATAATTGAAGCTTAATCTACGAACCATTCCTGTGAATTTTATTTGTTAGGCCCGCTTTTTAATGCACAATCATTCACTGAGGCCCAAGACGTGGACCATACTCGTAGGAGAATTTATTCCTATTCTAAAAGGCGCCGATTTCGAAGAATGAAACTCGTAATGACGTACATGTTTACTTTTAACGGCAAGCCATTTGAAGGTAATTTGTCGACATAAGAAAATTAGCTTCAGAACGTAAAATATCACGATGTACCATGTGGAGCATGAAGTGACAGCCTTGATAAACGACAGCCCTTAAGGATATGCGGACGACCGCAATTTAAATACGGAATCGTGCGTATGGAGACCCAGAGTTGGTGGTTCCCTGTCCAATCCATTAAAATTAACTCATGAAAAATTTCTAAAGAAGACTCTGCAGTTAACCTGGGAAGCAGGTTACATCGAATCCATAGGCAATACACGCTGAATTATAGAACTTGAAACCATTCTGGGGTCAGCGATCAAGCGCTCTCTTGTAAGTTAAATTAAATACTTGCCAATGGTGCCATTTACTGGGAAGACCAGCCGCAATTAATTCGGTCTATAGTATTATTTGATAGTGTAAATGATACATACGAAACCAGCATTCCTCGAAAGACACCAAGCACTATGATAACCGGAATGACTTTCAGAATGCTCGCTTCATCATTTATCGAAACTACTTGGCTGCCTGGGTAATACGGCTATATGTCACAAACCTGTCAGTGAACACAGTGCTTATCGGAACTGAAGGTTTGAGGTAACCGGTTGTTTTCCTCGGCACTTACTGGTCCTCTTGACAACATACTGGCATCTAGTGCAAAAGTTGCCTTGATATAAGATCAGTCACTGTTTCGAGCGGCACTAAGAGGGAAATAAGTGAGCATAACCAGGTAATATGGAAGGTAATAACGGTTTTTTAAAACTTGTAGTTCAAATCCAACAAGTTGTCTGGTAAGAAAATTCATGCGGAGTGCATAAATAGAACGATTCTTATTGAATTTGGAACAGTCAGTTAAAAACAGACCCCTTTCAAAAGTTGGTTCGTGAGGATATTAATTTGAGCGATATCCAGGCAACCCCGAAAACAAAAAATTCAACACTGCAAATGGTGGTTAGCTCTGAGCAGCCTGTGCTTTGTAATCCGTGAGGAGATGGTGTCTCCAGTGAGAATATAGAAACATATCTAACCTTTCAATACAACATATTGAATTAAAGCACTCCTAAAAATTTCTCATGCAACTCAGACGGCTCGTGTATGTGAAACCCAGTAAGTGAAACCTAGTATAACCTAAGGCTCCACCTTCGCTTCCGGGGATTCAGAGGTAAAAAGCGACCTAAACAACGAGGTTATGCTTGGAAAACTTCACACCATAGTTCTGCAGGTGCACAAAGCCTGTCACTTTGGTCGCGTCCTGTGTAAATATCGGTGGCAATAGTTGCCTTTTATCCTGGGGCCATCTCTCTTTTTGATCAATGAAAACTGCTGTGAATCACTACCATTTGAAAAAAGGGGGCGAGATTGTTCTGTAGATAGAGCGCGACCTAACTGACAGGAGGATTCGTGGTACGAACCCGACGTTTGCATCTCGACATGTGCTGTCTAGAATTGGGCGACCTGGCAACACCCAAGTTATCGTGTTTCCTTCGGGTTGTATGGCAGCTAGACGATTATTATTATTTTTCATTCTGAGGACAATTGTATCAGAGAAGTTTCACACGGTGCATATGACGTGTTTAACGACCTCACCAGAAAAAGTTGATCCCATATATGGTTCACTCATCAAATTTAGGGACGGCATGTTGCCCATTGACTTACTGCTGGCGTAGCTCAATATGAACAGGCCTGTGTAAACAAGCTTATCAGATCCACTCACCACACCACTGACACCGGCCAGCCTACTCGGACTAATAAAGGTCTGGAATGATATTTCCATACAAAGTTGGCCATTTTCTGGTCGCGGTTGTCAGATGATGCCGCTTGTTCTTCCACTCATATTATTCACTGCGCCACGAATGTCGATCTCTATTTTTTGCACACTACCTGACGAGTTCAGTAAGTCGTGGGTCTTTCGGCTCTCTGACCTGGCCTACTGCTGTAGCGGTTGATTTTCCCACACGCCCTCTCTTAGTGTCACTTACTATGTACTAGACTACACTATAACTCATATGTGTGCCTTTATTGACTTCATCGAAGTATAGTTGACAGAGGAGTAACTCCCTTGTAACCTTCCCCACATAGATGTGAGTATACAGATTCACTGATATTGAAGACTTTTTAAAACCCACTCTGAGACGATGATGGAACCAAGTACTGACAATTTTTTCAGTAAAAATTCGTCCAGCTGCCTCAGGGATTTCTCTTCAGAGTGAGCCCGTGACAACGAATTTGCAAGAGCACGTTGCAGATTTACCACTCTCTGGCTTCTTTTTATGACATCTGATGATCTCGTCTGACCTTATTGTAGAATCCCTCCATCTACTCGCTGGGGAATCGTTTCAAAATCCATCACGTATGCCGTTGTGTCTTCAGTGGCTGTAGTTACTCTAGCTATCAATTTAGATCAAGTTGTTCATAGAGTGTCTGTATGCTAGCGCATAACTTCACAAAATTTGATGCCTTTGCTGGTAAAACTGTCACTTATTCCTCCGACACCCCCACTGCCCAGACTTTAAAATTACCTCGGCTGCTAACCCCTCATCTTTGACGAACTAAAAGCAGATCAGCTGCATATTATAATTGACCGGCAAACCAAAAATCCTCAAATTATGCGTGAAGATCAGTCGCCTGACCGTCCCTAAGATCCTATACCACTTCTTTTAGGCCAACATTGTGTGATTGTTTACTGATATTACCTTGGTTGATCAAGTTTGTGGTCACATGCGACAAGCATCTATGGGAGAACCTTCCTCTCAGCAGCGTATTGCTCTGTCTTTTACTGTTATGGGCCTAAGTTTTTTGGTGTCCATGGGGAACCGTCAAACCGTTGCATTCCGATTTCATACTGACCATAGTCCAGTTCCACTTACGGCAATACATCATCCGAGAGCATCAAGTCAGGTTGAATCAGTCTAGTGAAGTGTAGGTAGCTTGGGAATAAAAAAGGGTACCCTGTGGTGATCTGTCGAGAACATGATCCGTTTGGTTAGATTTCAGCTGACCTACGTTTTCCAACTTCGACGATGAGAAAAGAACTCCATTCTTTTGTGTGGCACTTAACTGGCTCCAAAAAACATGCAACATAATAACACGTTTTGGTTTGGTCAAAAACCAAAAACGTTATGTTTATCGACCCTCGGGCTCTTCTGCTATCATATCAAAAAATACAGGACATCAAATGATCTACACCTCGAAGTATTTTGCTCCCAAATTTACAGTGATCTACCTTTGGCATTTTTCGCAAAAAACAGCCGTGAATTGTTTCTCGATCAGGTAACCACCATAATCGGACACATGGACCATTTGGCTCTGTTTTTTTCACAATCG